ATGTGTGATGCGTCTATTTTTTTTTTTTGGGTTGCAGCATCATGCGAACAAGTGCGACGTTAGCCCCAAAAAATAGGCGACCTGCAGGGTTATTTGGGAGGCAGCGGTGTCTCCTGTGCAGCTCCCTATTTATTTTTTTTTTTTTTTTACTATCCGTTGCTGCTTTGGTTTTTGAAATTATACCACGTTGGCGGAGCTGTGCGAGTGTAGTTTTTGTGCTTGTTTTATTTCGGGCTTCCCACCCCAACCCCGGCCTCTACTGCTAATACCACCACTAGTGCCAGCAGTACTGCCCATGGGGAAAGGGTCTGGCGGTTGCGGGTTTCCAAAGGCCGCCGCTCTGTGAGCTCCCCAACGAGGTCCGGTGATCATAATTTACCACGAGAAACTTGATTTTATGTGCGTTTGTGAGTGGGTTGCGCGATTCTTTTTTTTTTTTTCATTGTGGATGCCGGGCACGTTGGATCGTACTGTAGAACTTTTTTTTTAAATCTTAACTTTTACATGTAGGAGTAAAAAGGGAGCTGCCTTGTTGACTTGTGTAATGATCGAAGTTAGTTGTAGTGTTGGCTGCCGCTGTTTTTTTGTTTTTGTTTTTTAAGACTTTTTTTCCCTTTTTTTTTGATTTGGGTCTATCCCCCCCCCCTCCCCCCTCGACGAGTCGCCCCAGAGGCCGCCGTGCGGCCCGTGTCTCTCGTGATTGAGGCTGCTATGTTACTGCCTTTCTTCTTTTGTTGCGGTTTTTTTTTTTAAAAAAAAGGTTGTCATACCATTTGCCCTGCTTTCCCCGGTCTCTTGCTTGCAGTGCTCCACGGCATGATAGTGCCGGCCCCGTGGGACGCAGACACTCCGTGTGAATTCCCGCCGGCGCCGGGTGGGACATCCGACGACCTATTCTGGGGCATTGTTCGCACGTACACGGGTCACTCGTGCGAGAGCCTGCGCCTGCTCTGTGAGGGAGGCGTGGCGTTGAGCAGTAGTCTCCACTCCGGGTCGGCGTGTCTGCACGACGCCGTGCGCCCGATTGTGCCACCACAGCTTCTTAAGGCGGGGGTGATTCCACCGATAATCCCATTGGAGGATCTCCCAGAGATTGACTGCTGTGAGGACGTCACAGCCATCACGAAGCTGAGGGCGCACTGCTTTCGGTACGGCGAGAGCGTGTCACGGCTGCTGGAAATTGCAAAGGAGTGCGCTGGGAGGTGGGGTCGCCTGAGGGAGAATGAGCGAAAGCGCCTGAGTGCCGCACTTGCAAATGAGCGAGCCGCAAGAATGTGGAATGATGAACTTCATGGATGCTTTACGGATCTGATTCTTTCGGGGAAGGGCCTGCGCCAGGTGACGGAGGGCGTGACCCGTTTTTCGAACCTTACGACGCTGGTGCTGAGCAACAACCCGAAGCTGTTGTCTATCCCGTACTTGCCGCCTGCCTGCTTGGTGCTTGTGGCATGTGGTTGCTCCATTCGGGAGGTGTGTGCCTCCCGCACCCTCACTTTTTTGGGCCTGCCGTACAATATGGTGGAGCAGCTGGACTTCCTGGAAGGTATGCCAGAGTTACGTGTGCTGGACCTCACCCGCAACGCCGTCTTCTGCATTGAGGCAGCCGTGCAGGCGCTGCGTGGGCGTCCGCTGCTGGAGGACGTGACCTTCACGGGCTGCCCCATTGCCTTGCTGGACGACTACGTTGAAAGAATGGTTGCTGGCTGCCCTCGGCTGCGTCTGCTGGATCACTCCGCGACCGATGGGCTCGCCAAGCTTCACCCAGAGGCGAATAGCAAAACATCCGAAGTGGTGCTGCGCGTTGAGGTGGCGAAGCTGGAAGGCCTCACCGCACTGACACACACCCTTGTACAACGAGAGGAGAGCCCATCCGCAATTCATGCGGAGGCAAAAGCTTCAAAGGGTAAAAAAAGGCCAGAACCGTTCCCCAGGGTCCCTTGTACGAGTGCACCACAAGCATCAGTCTTCAAGGCTCGTGGGGCCGTCAAGGTAGCGATGACGAGGATGCTGGTGGTGGGAATAGTTCTGGGGGTGTCGTTTTTGTATCATGTGACAACGTTCGTTTAGAGACGGAATCATTGGGGGCGTCTCAGCACAACGCCAACTCAAAGAAGTCGTGTGCTACATCAATGCATCTTGAGAATGTGCGTGCCCTAAACCACACGGTGACGGTAAGCTTGGCGCCTACAGCTAGGCTTTCTCAGTCTCTTGCAAAGCCGTTTGTTCTTGCATTACAGATCCATGACGACATTTGCTTCCCCAGTGGCAACCGCCTCAAGTTGACCTCTGACATTGGATCGTTCTATGCAGATGCCTCTAGTCTCCTGTTGAGCACCGCCCCGCTGCCGCGCTGCATCACTGTACGTGAACCTCTTGTTGTTAGCAAGGCGGCACTGGAGGAAAAGCGGCTTAAGGCGCAAGATTTCCGTGTCGCTGCAGCCGCGGCGTTAGAGAGCTTGATGATGATTACGCAGTCCATGACAGTTTCTGGTCTCTCTGCGCTTAGTTCTGGTGCACCGCGGAGGCGCAACAAGTCTGTCATGACGGCTGCTCAGGGCGGTGCAACCGAGCAGTTTTTAGCCGAGGCGAGGAGGCGAGAGGTAGAAGTATGGGAGTTGAATCTCCTTGCAAGCATTGAAGAGAGGCGCATGGAGGAAATGCAGTGCTTGGCACTCACGGCAACGGTGGAGTTCTCACTGGGGACGGCACCGAAGGTGGAGGAGGTGGTTCTTTCAGGTGCGGGGCGCACCAAGGCCGCTCGTCGTGGACAGGGCGATAAGTTGAGACGGTGAGGCCGGCAATGAATCATGTAATATATGACACTTTGGAATGTTTTCTTACTTGGTATCGTGCCTGGTTTGTGGTGTGTCCTTTTTTTTTCCTCTCTCTCTCTCTGGGGTTTTCCACTGATTGGGCTGTGTTTGTCTCTCATGATCGTGGTTACCTTCTTGTTTTTTATTTATATGAATGCATGTGTGTGTGTGTGTGTGTTTTTTTTTTTTTTTTTGCGTGACGAAGCTTAGGTTAGGGCAGTTATGAACAAAGGCGGTTTGACGTCGTTGCTGCTTGCGGTATCCTTTCTGTGTATTCCCTCATGTGTGGCGATTACGCAGCATGCAGGTGCACCTGTGGAGCCAATCGTAGTCGGCACGTCTCCAATAGCGAATAAACCCGTCAAGAATTGGTCGGTGCACGATGTTGAGTATTGGATGAATCACACGGTGGGATATGCGGAGTTCAGCGGGTATGTGCGCAAGTACCTTGTGGACGGTCCAACTTTGCTGGGGATGGAGCCGGCTGACTTTGAGGAGCATTTTCCCGTTGAGAATGCGATTCAGGTGGTGAAGCTGATCTCACACGTGAAGCTGCTAAAAGGGCTTTGTCTTTGTGACACCGAGGAGGAGGCCGTCGTGGATTTCTGGTCCTACTTCCGGAAGGAGAATTTTCGGGTCTGGGTGGTGGGAGGAACCGCCGTGTTCTTTCCTCGTCTGGCGATGCTGTACACCTTTTTCCTTGACAGCGAGCTGTACACGCTGCTCCTTGGTGTACCGACACCACAGGCGAGCGCACTCAGTGCCGCTGCACAGGGCGCATTGAACGTTGCGACGCGAACTGTTTCCTTTTCACGCACGCTACTTTACATACTCTCCTTCGCTGTGGCGCCAGAACTATTTTTGGCGTACGAGGCGGCCTACCTGTCTTTAACGAATTACTTCATCATGCCGGTTTTTGTGGTGCACTTCATCATTCAGGCATTCAACAGCTACACATTTCTGTTGTTCTGCTGGGGTGGCAACGCATTTCCACCGAACACGTCGTATCTCAAGGTGGTGTGGGATCTGTGTTCTTACACGATGCTCGTGCCCCCCGCCTTGCTTCTACTTTACCCTGTTCTGCCGTACGTGGTCCAGTCCCTTGTTGTCTACCTGCTGCTGGGCTACATCGTGCTGGGGGCTATCGGCTTCTGCGCTCTCTTCACTGATGTACGAAAATCCGCGCAGAACTCGTCGTGAGCCAACGAGCACCAATGCCGCTGGCGACAACGGAAGAAGGGATGAAACGCAACTAACCACGTACGATCATTAACGAAGAGTGTTAGGGCGGGTGCGGGTCAGAGAGGCTTGCACTGACTTTGGTTGTACCCCCAGGGCGGCAAAGTGATGCGAACCCCGCTACAGCGGAGGGGACTAGCGACGTGCCTGTGGATGTGCAGCACCGGGGACGAATGTTGCTGGCGAGAGAGGAGGACGTAGGAGAGAAGGGCCAACAGGCACGGAAGGAAATTCACGTGAATTAAGTAGAAAAAGTGTAACAACAGGGGGATGGGTGCGGAGACGTAAAGAAGAGAGAGAGAGAAGGAAGGAGGGGGCGTGGGTGAGCGGCAGGATGCAACGGTGGCTCTTGCAGGCAACTTTCCTTCAAGGCATACATCCCCGTTTTTTAAATTTATTTTCTCCTTCTTTTCACCCCTTGCCGACGGTCTGTGATTCTGGGGGGGGGGGGGGGCGCTCTCAGTGGACGCGTTCCCTCCCCCTCTTGCTGTGTATCGGAACCTCACCACTTTTCCTGCTCCTTACGCAATCTTTTCTCTTTACATCTTTCTCCCTGTTTACGCTGTTTCCGCTTGGGGCCGCCGCAGCTTCAACAGTCCATGCCCTACGCAAGGTCCACTGTGTCCAGCCGACGGCGCACACGCACGCCGGTGTGTGGGCCCGTGGCGGCAGATTCCCGCTGCTGCTCACCACCACCAACAGCTGATGGCGCAGCGATGCAGGCGGAAAGGTCGGAGGTTTCATCGCGCCTGCAGGTGCGCAGCCGTGTGGACGGCGGTTCCCACCACAGGGCGAAGAAGGCCCGGAAGGAGTCACGAGCTGTCCACACTGAGCACAAGGAGGAGGCGAAGCTGTCGCAGGAGCTTGCCTCACACTGCGAAGCCGTGGCGCGGCGCGTGCATGCCTTGCTGGACAAGGCACAGATGCAAGAGGAACACGTTACCCGAGCACTGAAGGAGAGCCTTCAGCAGTCTCCACTTCGACAGTCGAGTGCATCACCGAAGCCGGAAGCGGTTGGCAGCCTTTCCCCGCAGCCGTCATCGACAGGAGTGACTCCGCGCGAGAGTGCAACACGCTGGTCCGGCATGTTTGGCACACCAAAGGTCCCAAAGGCACCGCCGCCAACGCCAGCCCGCTCTTATTCTTCCACTGGCGGCTGGCTGAGCAAAGTATTTGGAAGGTCTCCCGAGGCTCCGCCAACACCCACATCGAAAAGTACAACACCACCTTTGAGGCAGTCAGCCTCGCCGCGTTCTGCGGATGCCGCAGGTGCCAGTCCCAAAAAAAGGACAACATCTGCCAGCCCCTCGCATGCGCCCCCTACCGAGCATGCCTCACTGCTGCGGCGTACTATTCAGCGACTCTCCGGACGTTTTTTGTCGCCGCCTCCAGATGAAGAGACACCGCAGCGTTCACGGAAGTCCGTCGTATTTAAGGGAACCGCCGAACTGGAGACGGTGACGCCGCCAAGGCCGACAAAGCGGGAAGTGGAGACCCAGGATGACAGTGAGCCAGCGGTGCGAGGCTCGCTGCTGTATCCTCCAGCGCCGCCGCCGTCCCTGCAAAAAGAGCTTGCCCGCCGGAGCTCAAGCGGTACCCCATCCTCCGTGGACGAGGCAAAACAACTCCTGGTGGGGCCTGACATGAAAGATGTGGCTGGTATCATCCAGAACTTTTCACACTCTCGTGCGTTTCATCAGCTAACCAAGGCAGACCTTGTAGCCTATGCTAAGCTGCACCACGTTGTCTTGGCGATGTCAAACACGAAGAAGGAGCTGTTCGAGGTGGCGCGCCGCCTAGCGAAGGGCAAAGCAGGGGAGACCCAATGATTGCATGCTTTTTTTTTATGCGCTCACGCATGTGTGTTTTTTTTTTAGTAGGTCCCCACCAACACCGTTAGAGAGAGAGAAAGGTAAAGAGAGAGAGAGGACGAGTTACAGGAAGCGACAGAAAATGGAAAGGAAGAACGGAATGGGGAAGACGGTGCACAGAAATAAGCAAGGGATAAATGTCAAGAAGGAATGCGTGCGATGCACCTGTGGCGCCGGTTATTTGGGCTTGGGGGAGGGATTCACAGCGAGTTTTTCCCCCCTTTTTTTTGTTCTTCTCTTACCTCCTTTTTTTATTTCCACATGCCCCATCGGCGTTGCTCTCAGCGCGTCGTCGCATGTGGGCGGCCCACACACTGCTGCACTCGGCGGGTGCTCAGTGCTCTTGACATCACCGAACCGCCCCTGTTTTTTTTTTTTTTTTTTAGGCTTCCTCGCCTGGTGTTCGCGATGGATGTCTTTGCGCACGCATGTGCTTATGTATGAACATGAACGTGGGTGTTTTTCAGAGAGAGTCACTAGAGATAAAAGACAAGAAAAAAAAATATGTATAAAAGAAAGGGGTGAGGGACGGGGACAGGGAACAGGGAGGTGGGGGCGGGGGAAGTAAACAAGGCATGGGAGGTGGGGCGAGCAAAGTGAATGGGAGTTGCAGTCCACGTGTGTGTGACCCCCGTCCCTCGTTTCTTATGTCGACTCCTTTTTTTTTTTTCTCTCTCTCTTCCCCACATTCTGCTGCTGCTGTCTCTTTGTGTATGTACGTGTGATGTTGGATAGGGGGTGGGCCGTTATCTGTGGCGATGGGGTGGCGCCGGACGGGCTGGGAAAGAACGACGCCGAACACGGGAGGGTGTTGGGTGGGGTCAGTATGGCGGCGTCACACTTGCATTACTGCCGTCACGGCTCCCCTGCACCCACTCACTCACTCACCTTATTTATTGTACGCTATATATATATACACACGCGCACACAACAGAAGGGCTGCATCCTCCACTTGGTGCCGAGTGCGTGGTGACGCTGCGGTTTGCGCATCCCTTGCTTTGGTGGAGGGGGGACCGTCACCTCCGTTCCGCACAGCATCTTTTTTCTTTTTTTTTCCCATCTGACTGTCTTCACCGTTCATGCCTTGCTTTTTGCGTCGCAGTTGCATGTGTTGGGCAGGCCCACCTGCACACGGTTTTTAGCGGTGCAAGTAGAGCAGCAGTGAAGTGACACGGTGGCGCGGTCGCGAGCGAGGGCGGGCGGGCGGCACCGAGGGGAAGAAGCACGCGCAGCGGCAGCGGAGGAGGAGCGAATAAGACAAGATAAGAAGAAATAAAAAAAATAAAATAAAAAAAGAAAGAAACAAACAAACAAATCAATAGAGACCGCGTGTGTGGCGGTTGCTGCATCCGTGGGGCAAGGGAGTGCCTGCAGGGAAAGCGCCGCGGTGCAGTGAGACGCGTGCGTGTGGTGGTCGTAGAAAAAAAGAAGAGAAAAAAGAACTGACTGCCCTTCCACTTTCACCACCATGACAGAGGAGTCCATGTCGTCAAACAAGCGCATCCAACTGCTTCGCGAACGGCTCGAGTTATACAACGCTACCATCGCGGAGGCCATGGGTGTGGTTGCGGGCGTCACCGACACGGAGAAGATTGCCGCCTACAGCAGCAACGCCCCGGACAAGGCGGGGGAGAAGAATACCAAAAACACCTCGAGTTGGCAGAGGACGGAAAGGGAAGCTGGCAGCGGTGGTACGGCTCCCCGCTTGGAGCGTAACCTTTCTGCAGAGTTCAATGCGGCGCGCGCCACAAGGGCAGCGGCTACAGGAGCAGCGTCTAGTGGAGCTAACAACAATAGTAATGGTGATGGCGATGCACGCGGGGGCGACCGGCGTACGGTGCCGCCACCGCCACCATCCCCGCCGCAGGAGGCGGGGCGACGGGAGGGTGTGCAGTCGTGTAGTGGTACGGGCACCACCTGTCAGGAGGACTCAAACTCCATGTATTCCTCAGATAGTGATGGGGGGGCATTTGTGAACCCCTTTCTCAATGAGCCGCTCTCCATGGAGGAGGTTCAGGCATCGATGCGGAATATGCAGCGGGCGGAGTGGGCACCCGCCGCGAGAGCCGTCCCCCCGGCGGCCGTGAACAGCCCACCGCAGCGCACCAGTCCCCGTGAGTCTGACTACACCGCATTCACGGACGAAGATGAGGACAACAAGGCGGTGTCACTCCACACGTCACCGCCTCCACTCGCTGAGGATCATAAAGAGGAGCATAATAACAAGGCGGAGAATGCGAGCGCGGAGGCGGAGGCGGAGGCGGTGTCGTCCTTCGCTAGGCTGGAGACGGCGCACTACAGGTTGTCTGTGGCAGAGCAGGCGGCGCTGAAGTTGCAACAGACGGTTGACCTTGAACACGTTAAACGCGTCCTGCCGCAGCGACAAAAGGCGCTTCAGCTTGCCGAGGTCCGTGACGAGCTTCTGAAGAAGGAGCAAACGCTGCGTCTGAAGGATTCCACAGGCAGCACCCCCGACCACTGTGTACAATACGGACGCAGTGAACTTTGACCAACAGCTGCGGCAGCTTTTGACTGACTGCAGTGCCGCCAAGTCACTCTTCACACGTGTGCATGAGCGCAAGGCCGCGGTGGCAGAGAAGGAGCGGCTACTGAAAAAGAAACTAAGTGAACTGGAGGAGAAGCAGCGTGAGGTGAGAGAGAAACGGCAGATGCTGACAAAGTTGGAGCGGCGAAATGAACAGCGTGAGGCCATGCTGATTACGCGTGTGGAAACTTACCGGAAGGAGATTGAGGCCCACAGGGGGCGGGAAGAAACCCTGCAGAAGCGTATTGGCGAGGTGGAGGAGCTCGGACGGAAGGTGGCGACGTGGATGAAAATATTGGAGGAGCGCGACACGAAAATTGTGGCAAAGGAGCAGCGGCTGCGTCGCGTGCAAACAGACTTGGTTCGCCGCTCGGAGGAGCTTTTGTGCTACCGCAACGGCCGGGCGAAGCTGCCGTCACGGATGGCCCAGAGGCCTACAAATAATCCATAAAATGTAAAAGAAAGCAAAAAAAAAAAAAAAAAAAACAAATAACACGTAAGACGCAAAGAAGCAAATCATTGCGGCGGGGAGGAGCGGAAACAGCAGCAGCCACGGCGGCACTAGAATGCAGGTGGGAAACGGATAAGCCGGGGAGTTCACATAAGCTCTGCAAAGGGAGTGCCTGTCTTTTCCCTCCCCCCTCCCCCGCTTTCACCCTCCTCCTCCTCCGCTTGCTTCCTTCCTCCCTTACGCTTGTTTGTGCATTTTGGAGGCGGGTCGTTCTTTCCGTTCGCTTGCTTCGCCGCTCTCCGGCTGTTATTTCTCTTCCTTTTGTTGCTCTTCAGCGAGGTGGCCTATCGTTTTCATCATTTCTTTTTCGTTTGTTTGTTTTCAGTTTCTGCTCTCTGTCCGTTTCTCCGTTGGCTTGATAGTACATATATATATTTGTTCTTTCGCTGCGCACTCACGCACGCACCTGGCGCCGCGGGGAGCGGGCACTGAAAGAAATTTGCAGCCGCTGAGGGAGTCACGGCGGCCCCGCGCGCTGGACCCAAACAGAAGGAGGTGAGCGTGAGTGTGTGTGTCTGGGTTTCCTGCCATGCCCACGTATGTACACGTGCAATTGGAATTTTGGCGGTTGCTGCTCCGTTGTCTTAT